TATGTCATTATGGCAGCAGTATGCAGTTATCCTAAAATGTACTTTTGTCCAGTTAGAATCCACTGCTGTCACACTGGCATAGTGTGGTATGATAACCGTAATTTTTTATTACACAGCTCTGAAACCTTTACTGTTGTATGAATACTGAATACTGATAAACAATATCACATTTAAATCTGAAAGATCCGCCCAGGCATTAATATATAACATATAAGCAGATATTGACTTATCAATAGTATATTGCATTAAATAGAGATAAATTGTTTGACCACCAGAGTGACAACACCTTTTTTCAAATCAGCTAATCAATATCAAATATGTTGATATGTTGGTATCTGAATAAAGAATCCAGTATGGTTCTGTTATAGTCACTCTTCACACAGTCATGAAATATTATGTTTGCATTTTTCTTTCAAGTGAGTACCTATAAACAATACTGAAGAAGTAGTAGAGCAGTGTGAAGATGATGAGCTCTCTGTAGAGCAGCTTATAGATGCTGCCTTTCCATCGCAGGAGCAGGTGAAAGAAGGTCCCCAGACCTGCATCAGCAACCCTGCGGGAGTACGTCACTGTCATCGCTGCTGCTCGCTGGCCGACCTGCTGGCTGAGTGTGGCCTGACATAAAGGAAACCACCAGTGTGGTCACATATCTAAGAAAACAAAAACAGGAGGGTCAGTTATTTCACACGTGTTTTTCCATTTATGATGTAATCCCTATACCTGGATTGACAGGTATAGATTGAGTTAAATTTTCATTAACCTATATTAAATCAAGTGAATTGTTTTTTAAACTTCTCCACAATCCAATAATCATTCAAAATGACAATTGACATTTTACACATCTATGAAACACCTCTACATCTGAAGTGTTTTCAGGGTTACAACAGACAAACTCAATATTTCAGGGCCCAAAAGGTCAAATGTACTGACTCAAACAGAAAACAATGAATTTGTGGTTACATACCACAGCATATGAAAACGTCTGGCCATCGTGCTCGCCGTATCTCGAGATGTGTGTCAGCAGCGTTCCCGGGGGAGAATGTTTGTGAAGGGAAAGCAGGAAAGAAAAAAAGAGAGCGGGGGACTCCTACACCTCCGGTCACTTGATGTGTTAATCTGTTTCTGCAACAAAGATGCATTGTGAGGCCAGGTCCCGTTAATCTGAACAAATCTGAGGTCAGCACAGCGCCCGCACAGCCACAAATAGGTTGGTGAATGAGTTGTGTTCAGATTTAGGAAATATGACTTTAGAAAAACCTAACTTCTGCGACTTTGACACAGATGTAATTTCTCTCAGCTTTTTAAAGACTCTTTTGAACATATTGTCATTTTCTCATTTCACTAAAACCTGATTATTTTCTATTCGAAGCTTCTTTCAGTATTTGCTGATATTGAACTTTTGATCAGATGAGACTGTTTCGTGTGTGTATGTGTGTGTGTGTGTGTGTGTGTGTGTGTGTGTGTGTGCGTGCGTGCGTGCGTGCGTGTGTGTGTGTGTGTGTGTGTGTGTGGCAGGGGGGGGACCTCTGCCCCCCTGCTGGTAGAAATGTGTACAGTGGAGTTGTTACCGGTTAGAAAGTGTTAGTGATTAACCCTTCCTGTGGAACCAGACCCTCAGCAGCAGGGCGAAGTGCGGACTCAGTTAAACTCTGAAGGCAGAGATTATTAAAAACCTGCTTTTCAGATTCTTGATGCTCTGGAGACAATTGGGGATCTGCTGTGAAAACTGTGGTGAGTTTATCACATGTTTCTTTACTTTTTCAAAGTCCACATGTGTGATACTTGTAAAGTATTGTTTCTTACCTTAACTTGTGTTTACACTGCATATCTCAAAGACACAAGTTCCTCTAGCAGTGCAAAGCCTGCAAAGAAGTCAATTCAAGTGTGTTATACAGTTTAAACACTGTGGAGGTCACATCTTGTCCTCTGGGAGTCTTTTCTTGACCTGTTTGTTAAGACAAACGTTTATCTTTTAATTTAGTTTTTACCATTAACATATTTTATACATACAACGTTCAAAGATCATTCTTTACATAATTGATATTTCTCATGATTACTCTCATACTTTACAGATATAATCAATATAGAAAACTTAATGACAAAACACTTCCTGAAAATAAGGATAGAGTTGTAACAATAAGGAGAGGTACCTTTGTATTTTTAAGTAACTTTGAGTTAGGACAGCCAGTACAGTTTAGAAGCATTTCTTTCACTTATTTCCTTGTTAACAAAATTTCTAAACTCAATTCATTACTTGAAAAACCCAGGTTTAATCTCACATTCTGTCCTCTGCAGGTCTCCTGTTGTTAAGCTTAACTTTAATTTTATGTGATTTTAAGCTGCTGTATGTAACTTGTTTTCTTTCTGTATTTTAGGTACAGACAGACGTAAGGGTCATCATATGTGCATATAAGTAAAAATACACTGGAGATATCCACCAGTTTCTGAAAGGTCTTTGCCTGAAAGAGATACATGGATGCTTTCGAAGGACTTCACAGTGTCCAGATTTCTTCCTCTCCACCGTCCTCAGCTTCATCCAGCCGTGGATATGAAGTTCTCAAGGTGGGGAGGTCCGGGATAGCAGTGTACTCCTCTGCTGTCTTCTTCGGGACACCTGATGTGCTGGGACACACAGCGACCAGACAAAGGAGCAGCAGAAAACCTGAGGAGGGTTGTGTGGTTGGTCGGTAAGTGTTGAATCTGGGCTAAATATAAATGGTTTTATTGGTTCCCTGCTCTCCATAGAGAATTACATAAACATGATGGTTGTTTGCTGAAGTGGAAAAGAATAGATAAATTAAAAATCAAATCAGACTTTACTTATATAGTTACAGCAGTAGTTGCAAATAGGTGGTTACCAATGCAGTTGAAATAGTAGTGGTATAAAATGCAACAATACAGCAATATAATGAAAAATAAAATAAAGCAGGTAGATGAAATAAAATAGATGTTTAGTAGGGACAGTTGTTTAATTTTCTTTCTTCCGCTTGAACATATGTTTAACCAACTCCAGTCCTAAGGAATCTTTTACATGAAATGTTAACCTGACATGTGAATGAGTATAGCACTTCTCTGTCACAACATCTACTCTCTGTGAGCAAATTACAAACCAGCACATTTGATCTTAGCTGTGTTTTCATGTCAAATCTTATTTAGACGAATGTTGTAAAGAAATAAAAAGTGAACAGGAGCCACTTTTCAGTCTGTGAGTCAGATCAAGGCTTAGAGTAGCAGTAGTAGAGAGCTGACAGGAAATGAACAGAGAGTGGTGAAGGGGATGAGAGCAACTCAGGTCCATGGGTGAACTCAAACCAGGGATGAAGAGATAACACAGTGTAGTCAGTGTCTTAAACTGTTCAGTTTCCACTGTTCCACAGGATTTGCTTGTCAACTCACAGGTTTGTTTCATTCATCGGTGTTTAACTTAGAGTGGAAGAGATTGGATCACTGTGGAACAGGTGTTGAAACACTTTCTGTGAAAGGTAGAGATGATTACCTTCACCAAATCGATGGATTGTTTATTTGTAAGCAAGATTACACAAAAACAAATGAACAGATTTCCCCTGTGCAAGTCGGGGACGAACTCATTCAAAATTGGTTTGGAAGGCTTTGAATGTAGGTGGGTGGCTGTGCATGTGTGTATGTGACTAGGTACTGTGTGTGGGTGGGTGCTGGCTGGATATGTTGTGTGCTGTGTTGTGCCAGTTCACACTCAACAAGAACTAGTTCAATGTTCAGTTCATACAGATGAAACTCTCATCCGGTGGATGTTGGAGTTGATATGAATGACTGCATTTTGCTTGTTGCTTCTGCTACTTTTCCATTGAAATAAATTGCAGATTCCTTAAAGTCCTTAATTATTAGGGCACTTAGACTTGTTGCTGGTAGACACAACAGCTTTTCAATTGTTAAACCTTGTACTTTGTGGACAGTGCATGTCCATGCCAAACGTATAGGTCCTTGCCCAGAGTTCTGGCCTCCTCTCTCATCAAAGAGAAGAGTCTGATGAAGGGAATGTGCAGGGAAATAGGGTTTTGTTCCAACTCATTGAGCATTGTAGCTCATCAGGGATAGGCTTTAATGAAAATTGTTAGCAACACTTTGTGTAGGTAGTTTTCTCTTTCGAAGATGATTGTCGCAAGTTTGGCAGATCTATAGTCTGGAAAAATACTCATCTTGAAAACAACAATTCTTCCCACACAATTTAACACATACGTACTTGTTAGACATTTATCAGCAACAACAGCAGACAAATTCTGTACCACGCATTACTGTTCTACGGAAATTCTCAAAAACACATGTAGAGTCAACTTTTTTTTCTTCATATGCTTCATCGCGATACCTCTGCAATGTTGCTTCACATTACTGTTTCTTTGGAGTGGGCTCATTTGCATACCTTTTATAACATTGCTCATGTGGTGAAATATTTAATCGGTGGCATATTTATTGTAGCTTCAGTGTTTGCAGCATATTTAAGGCAGCTTTTTCGGTGAAAATGTTGTTGAAACGCAGAATAGTTGTTGAACTTTCTGTGAGTTGCATTAGTTTCACATTTGTAGGATATTTTACTCTCTGTATGTTTAGCTTTCCATGTGGGATATTTTGCTTTTCTTTTCTCTGAAATGTCTTCTTTGTTTTCTACATAGGTTTTTTCCAAAGCTTTCAGTTTCCTCTGCCTTGACCAGCGGTCTGAATGATTTTGCTTTGTCTGTTGTTCTGTCTTTCCATCTGGACAGTGTTTATCAAGTGATGCACATATGGATTCAAGGTCATTGTGATTGCTCTTCTTGTGATTCAGATAAATAGCCTCACCGCCTCTGTTGCGTTTGTGACCCAACAGTGTTTAGAATGACTGTATTAGAGTGAAAACAGCCTATGGGTTATACTAGACCCGAATGACCTCAGTGTGTATGGACCATACAGTCTGTGGTATGGACAGTCAAATTACGGGGTTCAAGAAGAGCAGAGATGTGCATTCAGTTCACAATTAAATCTGCTGATCCAGTTCTACACTGCTATCATCCAGTCTGTTCTCTGCACATCCATCACTGTCTGGTTTGGATCAGCCACCGAACAGGACAGGAACAGACTACAACCGACAGTCAGGTCTGCAGAAAAAATCATTGGTGCCAGCAAGCCCTCCATCCAGGACTTGTACATCTCCTGGACACAACCAGTTCCAACTCCTCCCCTCTGGTAGGCGCTACAGAGCACTGCAGGCCAAAACTACCAGACACCAGAACAGCTTCTTTTCTCTGGCCATCACTTAATCAGTCATACAGCGTCAGGAACAATCATGTGCAATAATCTGGTACATGAAAATATGAGTATATTGGTTTGAAGGTATATGAGGATGTGAGTCTATGAGT